TTACACTAATGTTTGTGTCGGGAATGAAACAATTCATTGATTATGGCTTTTATTTATAGCATTTAAAGTGCTTTTTGCTAACATTTATAACGAGAGAGAGAGAGAGAGAGAGATGTTGGTGTAGTGTTGGCAAAGACACACAGAATTGATGTCCAAAATGACAATTGAAAGGTAACTCACTTTTGGCGGTCGGACCACTTTATCGGCTTTGATTGCGGGCAGACTGTGGAGTATTGTCTGCTCTTTACTCACTTCGACCACATTTTCTGTACTCAAATCGACCTCTATTTTATAAAATACAAAAAAAACATTAGAAAATATAATTAACAAAAAACAATGCATTCAAATGAAAGGGGAAAAGCGGTGGAAACAATGCATAATAAAAGAAATTATAAGCGAAAAAAGTGGCAAATGAGTAGAAAAGTGAATTAAGAGATCTATAAATAGCGGGGATAATTGAGTGGCAATAGAAATAGCAGTAAAACACGGTGTATTACCCCTCCTATTGAAAGGTCTGACCCGAATCGCGACTTTCACTTTGCAGTTATCACTCATATTCACAAAAAGTGCTCTAATTTTCTCTTCACTTCCAATACAATAATAATAATATAAAACACTTTATAATTAAACTTCAATTACAATCGGCTTTTGTACACCACTTTTAATGAGTACTGATTATACTGTCATTTCGTTGCACACATAAGCACTGCTTAACACAAAACACAAACCAAATTGGAGTCAAATAATTGCCACACAAACGAAACGGTAATAAGTTTTGGTCTGAAAAAAACTTTTTTTCTGTCGTTTACTTCACTTCTTTGCGGAAGACATGAATGACACGAAAAGTGGGACCAAATTATTATAACTTTTCTCTCCACTCACTCTCGTTATAAATGTTAGCAAAAAGCACTTTAAATGCTATAAATAAAAGCCATAATCAATGAATTGTTTCATTCCCGACACAAACATTAGTGTAAAAACTGAGCCATTTATAGCGCAATTGGCATACAGTTATTGGCAAACATTAAGACATGTATTCAATGTATTCAAGCATTTAATCGCATATTCATAACAAAACGTCTCAATGAGTCTCACATAGACTTCAAGTGAAAACCAATCATTAAATTGGTATCAAATGAAACCGTTTTGCGATAAGACTTGTCTGAAAAGGCGTTTATATCACTTGTATTCATAACAACTGTAGTCATCATAATGAGTCTCACATAGACTTCAAGTGAAAACCAATCATTAAATTGGTATCAAATGAAACCGTTTTGCGATAAGACTTGTCTGAAAAGGCGTTTATATCACTTGTATTCATAACAACTGTAGTCATCATTAAATCACTTTATTATATAATATTGTATTTTACACACAGTTTTCATTTACAATCAATTGTGTAATCAATGACTGATTTAATTAATGGAAACACATTGAAATCACTCATTCATTAATGCCATTAATTACTGCTAATATTGATATTCAATTCAATGGATATTCACATATTTATAATTACTTTTTCAATATGTATTCAAATATTGATTTAATTAATGGGAAACACATTGAAATCACTCATTCATTAATGCCATTAATTACTGCTAATATTGATATTCAATTCAATGGATATTCACATATTTATAATTACTTTTTCAATATGTATTCAAATATCATTCAAATATTTACGTAATAATAGTTGTATTGATTGCAAACAATTGTCAAATGAAAACAACATATGAAACGAAAACTAAATAGTCAACAAAAATAGTTACATGAATATTGAGGTGACTACTTGGATTGAACCTGGTGAAATTGGTCAATACAGTCATATGTCATATGGGATCAGTGTGTGTGTTGTCTGGTTGAAGACATGGTCACAACTGATGGCAACAAAACAGTTGTTTTGCTGTACTTTTCGCACCAATTGTTAGCACTGTTTGTGTTGACACTCGTGTCTGCTTTGGCCTCACATACAGTACTGGGTGTTAGGCTGAGTGTTGGGCTGAGTGTCTACTTTGGCTGAACATTCAGTACTGTGTGTTGGGCTGAGAGCTGACTCGCAGTGAGACTCCAACACTCATACACTCGCATGCATTGCACACAACACACACGACATCTACTGTACGAATGGTTCAATGATTGTATGCATAGGCACTGAGTTCTCACTCATTCAGAGACCATTCAGTGTCTGACTATTTCACGTACAAAGTGTTCATCTGATTCACGGACTGTTAGTTTCCAGCGATAAGTGATGGCAATGAGACTCAAATCGGACAACAAATCACTGCTGAAATACTCTATGAATAATAGACTTAAATGTATCGAGAGGTGAGTCTCAGTTGTTAGTCCTTCGCCACAGTTATACTTATTAGTTGTCTCATTAAGGCTAAGAGTAAGACCAGCAATGGGTGATGAGATCAAGAGCCGGTTCGCTGTCAAGAGTAGTCACTATAGCAATACAATTAATGCCATCCATTTCATGTCGAGTCTAACCGCAGAGGAATATAGCGATCAAATGGATTATTTAACGTATGTATTGATTGCTTTGACCAGGGATTGACTTATATGCATTTCGGGCATTTTAAAGAGAGTGAGCTAGGTATTTATTTAATTATAATTAAATATTAAATTATTATTAATTTTATACTAACATATTGATGTGTACTATAACTAAATCATAGGGATTGACTTATATGCATTTCGGGCATTTTAAAGAGAGTGAGCTAGGTATTTATTTAATTATAATTAAATATTAAATTATTATTAATTTTATACTAACATATTGATGTGTACTATAACTAAATCAGTTAATAATTTACTAATTATAACTGTAATCACATATTAATAGCTCTCTCTCCCAATTTTGTTGAAGTACGGCGACTCACTCTACCGGTGCAAACAGCTGAAGAGAGCGGCGTTGGGACGCATGGCTACCATAATGAAGCGCCAGAACCAGAACCTGCAATATCTGGAACAAGTGCGCCAACACTTGTCGCGCTTGCCGTCCATCGACCCCAACACCAGAACTCTGTTGATCTGCGGCTTTCCAAACGTCGGCAAATCGAGTTTTATCAATAAGATCACGAGAGCCGATGTGGACGTCCAGCCCTATGCCTTCACCACGAAGTCGCTGTTCGTGGGCCACACCGACTACAAGTACCTCCGGTGGCAAGTGATCGATACGCCCGGAATACTGGACCACTCGCTCGAGGAGCGCAACACCATTGAGATGCAGTCGATCACAGCGTTGGCTCATTTGCGCTCTTGTATTCTGTATTTCATGGATCTGTCGGAACAGTGCGGACACACCATCGAAGACCAGTTCGCTCTCTTCAATAACATTAAGCCTCTGTTCGCTAATAAGCCGATTGTGGTTGTGGTGAACAAAATCGATATCACGAAAATCGATGACTTGCCCGAAGACAAGCGCCAATTCTTCGACGAACTCAAGCAAAGCAATGTATTCGTGCATCAGATGAGTACCGTTACCAACGAAGGCGTCTGTGAGCTCAGGAACGAGGCCTGCGATCTACTGCTCGCCCATAGGGTTGAGGGCAAAGTGAAGTCCAAGAAAGCGGACTCTATTATGAATCGACTACATGTGGCGCTTCCCATACCCAGAGATGATAAGGTGTGTACTGTTGGATGTAGTCTTGTATTCTTCGACTTCCTTCTGTGATGATAAAGAGATCCAACACTTATTCTCAATATGACGATAGCCTATAAGGCAGACTCTGATTGATTATTTTCAAAATCTATTGCCACTGTTTATGAATAGTTTGTTAATTGTTTGCAATGTGTTTAATCTGCAGGAAAGGCCTGCTTTTATACCGGAGTCTGTGGTCCGTAAGCGCCAAGAGATGGAAGCGGAGAAGACGAAGAAAAGGCTTGAGCGCCATATTGAAGAGGAATTGGGAGACGACTATATTCTTGACCTCAAGAAGAACTATGACATCGAAGGCGACCAGAAGTTTGATGTCATACCGGAGATATGGAACGGCCATAACATCGCCGACTTCATAGACCCGGATATTCTCAAGAAGTTGGAAGCACTGGAACGCGAAGAGGAGGAGAAAATCAATTCCGGTTATTATGACGTCTCGGATGAGTCTGAAGACGACGAGACCAAAGAGATGCGCGGATTAGCCAAACGGATAAGGGATCGCAAGGCTATTATGAAAGTGGAGCAACGGATGAATAACACAAATAAACCTAAATTACCCCGAAATCCACGAAAGGTTTGTCCCTATCATTGGTTTATATATTTGTTGATTATTTGCATAAATGATGAAAAACTTATTACCAAAACCAAAACAATCAGAAATATTGTGTTGATTTAGTTCTGCTACTGAGATGTAGTTTAATCGATAGATTAGATACTCTTGAGTTTAGCCGCGGATTAAACTTTGTTTTAATTTTGCTGAACAGAGGGAACGAAGCGTTAGTGGATTGCGAACACAAATGCGTGGATTAGGTGTCGATATGTCCAGCGATGAAGAGGTAAATATTTGTTGTCAACTATGGTATGGGGTTAACAGTGAACCAAATGATGAACCAGTCCACCAACTCGTAGTTCACTTGTACACCAAGTGTCCGATGAATGATTCACTGGCTGTGCACCACTCTGACCATTGCCCTACCATTTGTTTGATTAGTGTCTACTTTGGTATTGAATTAAATGCTGATATTTGATGTGTTTTAGGGCTTGAATTACGAGGAGGCAGTGGATGATAGACAGTCGCGGCCACCCATTAAGCGTATGCGCGAAGACACTGAGGGAAGAGTGCGGAGCAGCTCTAAGATGCCTCGCGACCAGTCGGGTGTCCGAGATGTTAAGGTATGTCCGAGTGATGGATGCCCTCACCATTACACGTGTTGTTGTGATTAGATGAATATACGCTCTTATAATGAATGATGAATCTTTGACGAGCTTTTTAACCAAATGAACAACACTTTGATTGAATGCATTGATTTGTTTGAAATGTTTGTACTAATGAATGGTATGTTTGTGTGAACACAGATGCGAAAGAAAGTGCGGTTTATGGGTAAGAAAGCGCAGACAACGATGAATAGGAACGCCCGCAAAGGGGAGGCCGACCGTAAGATCCTGAACGTTAAACCCAAGCACTTATTCGCCGGCAAACGAGGACTCGGGAAAACGCAAAGACGTTAACACGTCTTGTGGAGGTATTAGCAGTTGATTGTTGTATTGATGTGCTTATGAAGTGATGATTAGTACAGTTCTGATTCACTGAAAGGCCAATCGGTCTCTATTGAAGTCATATTGAAATATCTGATTGTTTTTATTTGTAACCATTTGTTTGAGTCTCAAATTTGGATTACATTTTTGTTTTACTTTTCTCTCAATAGGAATTGAATATCTCTTGGAGTCTTCGTGTAATCAATTGTTTAGAGTTTATTTTATTGTAATTTATTTTTCAATGACCTGTACATATGCTTAGACTTTTTAATGTGTAATTACCGGTAAATTAAAGTAATAATTGATTTATAATAAATTGTTTAATTTTTCAATAAGTCATATCGAGTCTTTATTTAACCCAATCTGTTGTCTCGTTGTTGGCTATCGTTATGTTTTCACTGACCGAGTGATACGGTTCAAAATGGGTGACATTGACACCATCGATGGTCACTTGACACCCGTCCCACACATACATCGCTGTCTTAATGTCGTGTTTCTCGGCAGTGATCCAAAGGGGTTCGCTTTGTGTCCACCAATGGGGGTGAGAGGTGTTGGGGAAGGGGGTCATGAGGAACAACTCGTGGGTCACGTTATCGTACATATAGTTCTGAATGAATCCGTGGTTCTCGGCATACCTTCCCGTCGTTATTGAATACCAATTGGGGTATGAATTCTCGGGAAATATTGGTTTCACATATTTGGCGGTCACACCGTTTTGTG